TTTTTTTTACTTTTTTTTTTTTTTGCTTTTTTTTTTTTTTGGCTTTTAAAACACCTTTCTTTTCAGTGTTTTCACCAACTAAAAGCAACACCTCGAGGTGGATTACTTTTTTCAGAGAAGACCCGCATCGATCCTATTGCTTCTACAACGTTTCTGATATTCTTCTTCCCAAAAAATCGTCTATGGTGTGCGGCCGTGTGCCTATTCTATTCCTTTGCAACTTCGCAACATTTTCTTTCTACAAAACGTCTATGGTGTGGCTACCAGTGTTCACTGTTCACAACTTGCAAAGGAATAAAATAGGCACTAGAATAGGCACTAGAATAGGCACTAGAATAGGCACTAGAATAGGCACTAGAATAGGCACTGTTCACTGTTCACTGGTGTCTCAACTATTTACGAGTCTCGCTTCTGAATGGTCATGATCGCGTCTGGATTGTTGCACTGAACTTGAACGATTAGAACTAATCCTTGATGTCAACAGCAGTGTGTACGCCTTGGCAAAGCCAAAGGTACGTTTTTGAGGATTTGGCAAGAGACTCGGATGGGGAAATAACGTAAAAAAAAGGGAATTGGAAACGTAAAGAACGCGGAAGAACGGTAGTAGCGAAGACCAATAGTTGATTTCAGACGTGATGACCGTGGAAAAACGCTAGTAGCAAGTGCAAATTTTGATTTGAGACGTAATGAACGGGGAAGAACGATAGTAGAGAAGTGCAATCTTTCATTCCAGACGTAATGAACGTGGAATAACGCGAGTAGTGAAGTTAAATCTTGTATTTCAGGAGCTCACCAACGACGCAGACAAAAACGCCAAAATGAAGTAACAGAAGAAAGAAAGAGAGAAAGAGAGGAGGACGGGTTGACTAAATAAAGAAAAGAAAAGAAAAGAAAAGAAAAGAAAAGAAAAGAAAGGAAAGGAAAAGAAAAGAAAAGAAAGGAAAAAAGGAGGAAAGAATGTCACACACCTGTATGACCTCATGCATCCTCTTTGTCTGCACCTTCCGTAACGGCCTGACGCTCTCATCTCCCTATTCATGCCAGATCAACGGATCAGGAGATCAAACACAGATCAACAGACCACCAAACAAGACAAAAGAAAAAGAAAAGAAAACGAAAAAGAAAAAGAAAAAAGAAAAAGAAAAAGAAAAAGAAAAAGAAAAAGAAAAAGAAAAACATGCCAGGAAGAAAAAGGCGAGAAAAACTTGAAAAAGACAAGAACATGAAAAAAAAAGAAAATTCAAAATTGACAAATTGACAATTTGAAAAATTGTTAAAATGCCCTTGACATTTGGTGTATTTCTTCAGGTACACCCTGAAACACAGGGGTATCGTGAAATGCCCTGGAACTTTGTGAAGTACCCTACTTGCGGACGGCGCCCTCTCTCTTTCCCCGTACCTACCTAGCTATCTATCTTTCTGTATGTTTGCCTACCTACCATTCTATTGCGGCCATACAGGCAGGCACCCATACACAGCAGTTGCCACCACCTACTCTGTGTGTGTGTGTGTGTGTGTGTGTGTGTGTGTGTGTGTGTGTGTGTGTGTGTGTGTGTGTGTGTGAGAGAGAGAGAGAGAGAGAGAGAGAGAGAGAGAGAGAGAGCTATGTCTCTGAGGATTGACATTTGGTGAGTTATTTGTAATATGTTGCTGGTTGATGCAGTTTGAAAGGAGAACACTAGAGAGAGAGAGTGCTTCTCTGGGAATGAATAAAGACCTTTTGGAGGCGATTC